ATACATCTATGAATCTACGTACATACATCTATCTTTGGTTACTCACATATGTTTGTTTGAAATGACAATGCAAAACTTCTGACGGCTGGTGACGAAAAATTGAGACTTCATTTTAAAAAAAACTTTAAATAAATCTTTTAACGGTAGTCTATGCTACTTTTAAAGATTTTTCTGTGAAATGAGAATCTGTGATTTAGAAAAAAAAAATACTAATAATAAGAAATCAAGGCTAAAAACAACATCGTTTGTGTTAGTAAGAAAGGATATTTGAGCAACGTGGCGTATGAGTAACACACAATTTTATTCATATTAAAATTGGTAATTCACAAGCAAAGATATCGCAGTGAAATTATCTTAAAATCGTTAACCTTGAAAGTACCTTTTTATTTTTGTATACGTAAACAGCACACGTCGTCAACTCGTCGATACGAAGAAAGTACTTCTAGGCAGCTGCTACTCTTGATAGCAAAGCGTTAGTTACAGTTTAGCACTACTGAACCGTTGTTTCCATACTTCCTACGTGCTTAATTTGACTTTTTGAATTTTATTTTATTTCTCGCATTTTTTTGGACAAACTCTGCTTAAAAGTCATTTGCAATGTGAGTTCCTTCCTCGTCAGATGCCTAGATCGCAAACTTAAAAGTATTTTTTGAGTTAATAAATAATATGCAATACATTTCAAAAATAGTGTTATACAAATTGGTATTTGTTTATTCATGGCATATGAAACAGGAATCTAGGAGCGCTAGAGCAATTAAGTGCAATTTGTTACAGCTGCTGGTCTCTAGAGTGTAAGAAAAAATATTCTGCTTTTTTTAAATATCATTGGTTCGTGTGAAATATGATGAAATATGTAAACAAATAAATGTACAAATTTTACATTTCTCCTTCTCTTGCAAGGCCCAATAAATAAGTATTCACGGTGTATTCACTTTTTGCAATTGCGTTTAGTCCACTTTAATAGTTTGAAGCTTTCAAATAAATTTTAACGTTTCATTAAAACTTATTTCACCATCCTTGCCTGGATACATTTAAAAATACAAAAATTGTATCTTGCTCGCGAGCATACTGTGTGGACACCTCTGCTCCAGAGTGAAGCGGAAGTTCCAACAACTGGTTTTCAATTCATCTTGACAATTTAGAATTCTTATGAAAAATAACAAACAACAATTGACAATTTAGAGACCAAATAAATTAAAAAAAAAGTCAAATCAGCTGCTGTAGTGATGCAATTGCTACCTATTCAATATGTCTTGAGCTATGCGCTTTCACTTAAGGCGGCGATAGCGGCAGCACAAAAACAAAA